ACGGAGCGCGGCGGCGCGCGCATCTCATGGGAAACTAGAAACTCAAACCCCTTCCGCCTCCCCAGCCACCAGAGGCCCTCGGGGACCACGCGTCAAGCAGGCATCTCGAAGAAGGAAAACGCTGCCGCGACATTTCTTTTGCATTGAGCTGAGCTCCCAGAAAATCCTTTCCTCGATATAAGCGGACATTTGGTACGGCACTCTAAATATCTGCTTGCGGATGGGTAAGGAAATCCACTCATAAAAGGAAGTCAGAAATAAATATTACGAGAGCTTAGATAAAGAAGCAAGTCAGAGCAAAAAACGCATTATCATTTTAAGATCAAAACTCGATATCTGTTCAAATTTACTTACACCACCATGAAACGACTTTCCGAGGTGAGGAATACGCTGTATCTCCCACTTTGCTTGTGGTGGAGGTTTGGGAGAGAAAGAGGGAAGGGTGGGTGGTGGGAGGCGGAGAGGGTTGGGGGTGAGGGTGAAATAAAATAAAAGAGCCCCCGGCGCGCCCCGTCGCCGCACACGCGCTCACCACGTACGAGTTTTTCATTACTCCGCGCTCACGGGCGGCTCAGGGAGGCGCGCCCTTCACTCCTTTTTACCACGTCTTTTTATCGACTGCGCGCGCAAGTCGATAAAAAAAAATAACAGTGGGGAAACAATACAGTTGGGAAACACTGAAAGTAGCGACGGAAGCACCGAGATGCAGGGAGTTTAGTGACGAGCTGTGCGTCGCGCCTGATCATGACGGTAGGAAGGGGGAAAAAAGAAGAAGAAAAAGTTCACAAGCGAATCTGGCTAGACCGAGGCGAGACACAAAGCGAGCGAGCGATACTACCCCGTCAGTTTGGTTGACATGCTTCGCCATAAAGGGGTCATACTTTTTTTTGTGACAATGCAAAGGTGACACGCCTCGTGACACACGATCGCGCACGATGTATGCCACATATTACTTCAGCAATGGACGGGACCTTTGCAATAAAACTGACTAATTTACACATGTGGCCCCCGTATTGGTGGTTTAAAAGGAACATGTCGCCTGTATATTGGCTGACTATTCAAAAGCGACAAGTTGATTTTTCTTTTTGTGCAGGTATGCAAAGTTGCGAAAAGTGGGCTGCCTGTGAAAGGATGAATGGTGACAAATTTGCTTCCAGCGTTTTTGTGAGAGGTTTGTAAGAGGAATTGATTTTACTGGAGGTAAAATTTTGTTTGATTCAGAACGATCGGCGTTATTAGTAGCAACACAAAAAAAAGGACTCTTGTTTAACAGTTCGTGTTTTGGTTTAAAACTGGCGTCCTCGTTGAATCCCGAAATTCACTGTACTTGCAACTATTCCGAGACAGTTCCCCGCCCAGGCCCAGGCCTAGGCCCAGGCCGACTAGCATCTCTTCATCCCAGCGGCGCCGTGGGAGGCACGCGCTGCAGCGAGTACACTCCTACACACGAGCACAATCCAGGGCTTGCCGCCCCGCCCCGCCCCGC